AAGTAGTTAATCACGTCAGCTTTGTAAATATAATTTCTATAAAAGTCAATGCTGCTTTAAATACATCTATCAGGCCCCTCATACAAACTCTTAAGCTACACCAGAAATGAATGCAAGTATTCTAAATAGGAAAAATTCTCCTGCAGAAAATTTCACATTATTATAAAATTGTTAATCATATTAAGGAACAGTAATTTAGTCTTCTGTCAATGACAAAACATAAACAGGACAGTACAGTTCTAGTTAGGTATAACAAGATCTACTTTGAAAGGGTTGAAGACAACAAGTTTTGGGGGATTTTGTTTTGCTTGCAGTCAGTTACAGCTGTCAGGCCAGCTCAGAGCAGTGATCCAAGCATGGCACAGGTACATAGCCACAAGGCTTCAGCACCACTTGGTCTTCCCAGTGACACCTAAATCCTTGGTCTCAGATCAACACATGAAACAGGGACACCTTTGTGCTGGTTTTGGCTGGGATAGAGTTAATTTTCTTCACAGTAGCTAGTATGGGGCTATGGTTTGGATTTGTAGCTGGGACAGCTGACCCCAACTGACCAAAGGGCTGTTCCACACCGTATGACATCATGCTCAGCATATAAAGCTGGGGGAAGAAGAAGGAAGGGGGAGACGTTTGGAGTGATGGTGTTTGTCTTCCCAAGTAACCGTTATGTGTTACTGGAACACCTGCCTGCCAATGGGAAGCTCTGAATGAATTCCTTGTTTTGCTCTGCTTGCATGCACGGCTTTTGCTTTACCTATTAAACTGTCTTTATCTCAGCCCACGAGTTTTCTAACTTTTACCCTTCCGATTCTCTCCCCCTTCCCACCGGGGGGGAGTGAGCAAGTGGCTGCATGGTGCTTAGTTGCTGGCTGGGGTTAAACCACAACAACCTTCTAAACAGTACTCTCTGCTCAGGTCACAATCATCATGAAACAAAGATTACAAACCTTCTTTTTTGAGAAAGCAACCATATTCCTAACATAAAATAAATGTAAAAAGGAAAAATATGATTTTGACTTATTTAAATTGCCATCATCATCAAAAAGCAAAAGAATAGCTAACTTTAAACATTATTACGATATTTTTCATTATAAAATTATAATAAAATTTGGGCTACCAGGTTTATTATCAGGTGCATTTGCCAGCGTTTACTCTGACAAACAAATTAGCTCTGCATTTAAAAAAAAGCCGCCTGATCCAAAAGCCCTTTAGTTCCAGTGAAACCCAAACAGTGCTTTATGGAACAGGGGTTTTTGGTAAATAGATGCCTAATGATGCAGATAGATAGCACCAAAAATTTCCAAATTCCCCAAAAGAGCACACCATGTAATTTTTCTAGTGACCTTGTACGTGTCCTTTAAAACTTTTTTTTAAAAAAAGTTATTCTGGTTAAAAAGAAGCCTCGTGTTTTCATAACTCTTATGAATTGTCAAAAGAACAATGTATTCAGGGAGGAGATCATAAACTTGTTGCAGGGTCTGGCACTCACATCAGGGAAAATACCTTCACGCTGCTCTTGTGAAACAGACTCTATTTGACGCCACCAAATTTCAGAATCACAAAAGATAAGAAGTTGCATGAGTCTAATAATGCTTCAAATACATGTTTTAAAAGCACTGGTAATCTAACGTACAGCCAGGCACAATGTACCTACTGGTATCCACCACATCACATGAGACTGACCCTAGCGAGGAGCTGAACTTAGAAACAATTTTTAGCTGCAGAGCTGTTACTGAAATGATTAGTTACAACAGCTCTGAGCAGGCAGATCACTTCACCAGTGTGGATCTGTGCAAGATCAGAGCCTGAACACATTTCTTCCCTATATCTGGCCTCAGCTTCAGGAAAAAACATGTTTTCCCCCTGCCCCAGCCCGCTGCCCACGTCAATGGACATTAAGCATATGTCGCCTCACTTTTGGAAAGTGTTGCGTTATTTAACTTCATTACTGTTTGTTGAATTGCTTTCAACCACTTCTCACCTTGCAAAAAACCTTTAAGTAAGTGCATTAATATGGCACGTGCTTAAACTCCACCATATGTGAATCGTGTGGCTCAGTAGTGGGACATTACTTACAGAAGGAGACCGGGCACAGGGCGCTGGCTCGCCTGCCTCCCCCTACACACCTCTCTGCCTAAATTTGTTTCTATCCCTCCAGTCTCCAGAGAGCCCTTGCCTTCCCTGCAGAACAGTGTCTACTCCCTCTCTCCATGTTGCTTAATCCTCCAGAATTATCTCTGACCTTTCTGCTCAGCCTGGTGGGACTCGGGCTGTACTGATGGCAAAGGCATCCCTGAATCCTCAGCCACAGCTGCTGCAGCACTTCAAAGGCAGCTACCGCAGCCTCGGATTTAGACTGCAGCTGGAATCCAAAGGCTCAACGTGGGGTCCCCAGTGCTGAGCAAAAAGAGCAAAGCTCATCTGTAAGGATTAAAACGTGGACAGGTAATGGATCTAAATGGGGCAGGAAGTAGGAAGGTGAGGGAAAGACAGGGAGAGTGGAAGTCAGTATACAATACAGAAAATCTGAGGAGGTTAAGAGGGGCAGCAAAAGGAGGGGCTGGGGGCACAGAAGACAAGAGATTCCTGGTTAGCATAAATAATATACGTGTGTGTGAGGGAGGAAGAAGGAGAGCAGCTTGGAAATGTAAACAAAAATATCTTCAGAGGAGGTAGGGCTTTAACATAGAAAATGGTGAAAAGATCAATGGGAATAAAACACAAAAGGATGTACAAGTCAAAGACAGCTAGAAAAACAGGCACTGAGAATGAAAGATCGTGATGAGACGGAGCCATAAAAACCCTCTGTAAAATAGCTTGGACTGGGACATGTATCACAGCCTTCATACTGCAGGATTACCCCAAAAGTAAAAGCAAAATTTTTTTATTATTCAGGGTAATAATGGACTTTGCATATCAAGTTATGAAAGAGCATTTTCTTCTGAAAAGTAAGATCAAGGAAGTTTTTAAGAGAAAAACACCATTTGGTTTTTAAGACCATGCCACATATTACTTGGGAAGCAGGACTATGAAGTTGACTCACGTGCACTAGAGAAAGCTGGCTCCAGCCATCCAGCGGAGCCAGGCTGTGCTCAGGTCCTCACAGGGGGAATATCTGAACATAGGGGCAGAGTTCAGGACACAAACACACCAAGAAATCTGAGAGTTCAGCAAAAACTTACCACATGCTTTGGAGGGCAAACTTGTAAACTTATCAGCTACTTCAGAAAACCTGTTTGAACAGAAGTTCTCATCTGGTGGTAGTGGAAGATCGTTCACCTTTCCGTTGCATTTAACTATAAGGTAAAGCTACGCAGTGGGACACGAACTCCATGGGACAGGAGCAAGAACACAGACTGTAACCCTAGAAATAATAATTTATCACAAATTCAAACCTACCTTAGCGTAGAATAATTTCTCAATATCTCAGCTTGTCTTAGAATTTCCCACATTTGAATGATAAAATATTACAACACTAAGTCATTATCGTGTGGTTATAAACTATGTGTCAAGCTGCATGTTGAATGGTTTAAAAATGAACTTAGCTTTTCAATGAACTTGGAATATACCAAAATAATAACAAATAGCACATTTTTGCCATCTGCAATCTTTTTTTAACATAGTTAAAATAGTTTAACTATTTTATTAAACTATTAATAGTTTAACAGTTCCAACTATTATGCAGTTGCTTGAACAGCTTAATAGGAATGCTCACTTGAAGGACCTTAGCATTTTCACTTGTGATATACAAGCTTCCTTCACTCAGCCTCACTAATTTCCTAAATCTCCAAATCTTTTGTTGTACTTTATAAGAAAACACATGCTAGAGTTAAAACAGGAAAAGATTTCTACTTTGGAATCAAGTTGGCTTATTTTTTTTTTCTCTCCTTATCATTCTATTCAGATGTGCCAGCAGAGACCTGAATGTCTAAAAGAGACTGCTATAAAAGGACCAGAGGAGAAATGTGATGATCACAGAGCAGACAGCTTTTTATTTGTCATTTACTCTGAACTAGAAAAAAAAAAAAAAAAAAAAGAACCAGGCCAAAAAACATTCAGTTAGTTATTAAAA